GCCATCGAGTCGGCCCCGACTCATAGCGACCCCTCCTTGGGTTTCCAAGGCAGTATCACTACGGAAGTAGGATTGCCCAACCTTCCATCCGAGGAGTGGCTGGTGGGTTTGAACTGCCAGCCATCTGGTTAGCAGGCAAGTCTTAGCCACTATGCTACCAGAGCTCCCAAATGTTATTTAGCAAATACTAAAACAATAGCAACGAAGGAAGTGATAACATGATTCATAAACAAAATGAGCCTAGCACAGAAAATTATATGGAACAAAGAAATCAACACCACGAAAAAGCACACAACAAAATGACAGCAACAAATTCATACTTGTTGATAATTACATATCTGGCAAGGGACTTATCTCTAAGATTGATGGAAAACTCCAGTGCCTCAACTGCAAAGGGATTAACAATCCAATTGAAAAATGGGCAGAAGATATGAATAGACACTTTACCAAGGAGAATATTCAGATGGCCAGCAAACATATGAAGAGGTGCTCATGATCACTGGCCATCAGAGAGATGCAGATCAAAACAACAGTGAGATACCATCTCACCCCAGCACTGGTTCAACAAGGTTCAACAAGACAGAAAATAACAAATGCTAGCAGTGATGTGGAAAGATTGGGACTGTCATACACTGCTAATGGGACTGTGGAAAGCAATATGGTGATTCCTTAGAAAGCTGGAATTGGAGATACTATTTGACCCAGCAATCCCATTACTAGGCATATATCCTAGAGAGGTGAGAGCCAGGACAAGAACAGATATATGTACACCCATGTTCATCGCAGCACTATTTACAATAGCAAAAAGATGGAAGCAACCTACGTGCCCATCAGTGGAAGAGTGGATGACCAAACTGTGGTATATGCACACAGTGGAATACTATGCAGCACTAAAGAATAATGTAGAGTCTGCACAACACCGCGTAATGTAGATGAACTTGGAGGACATTATGCTAAGTGAAATAAGTCAATCACAGAAGGACAAATGTAGTATTAGTTCATTACTGTGAAAAGTCAAGGAAAAGTTTATATATGGAAGGAAACTTTCTTTGTTGGTTGCCAGGGGTGGTAGGGGAGGGGAGGGACACTGCAAAAATAAAATGCATTGACCCATGTCACTTTAGTTTTGTGTATTTCACTGTACATAAATTATATTTCAATAAAATGCATTAAAAAAGGAGTGTATTTGCACATCTTAATCTGAAGGTTTTCAATTCGTGTTGAATTTTAGACTCTGCTAAAATTTTCTGAAAGAGAGTTCACCATCCATCCTTTATGGAAAGCTTCACCATGGGGCTGATGGTAGTGAGTGCTTTGTAAGGTAAGCATTAGGAAATTATTTGTTTGAAATCATATGGCTTGTAAGAGGTGTGTCTGTGGTAGTCTCAAATCTTCTTGTTTTAGATGTCATGTTTTTCCTTATAGGCAACCTACACCTAGACAGCCATTTATCTTCCATGGTATGTAGAAAGAAAAGCAAAAAAGTGAAGCCCTTCCTCAGAGTTTTTCTATGGGAATAGGATTTATGAATCATTTGTCATTAATCTGGATGTTCCTATGTTGTTGTTTGATGCCGTTGAGTCGGCTCTTGACTCGTAGCAACCCTGTGTACAACAGAACGAAACACTGCCCAGTCCTGCACCATCTTCACAGTCCTTGCTATGCTTCAGCCCATCATTGCAGCTACTGTGTCGATCCATCCTGTTGAGGGTTTTCCCCTTTTTCACTGACTGGCTACTTTATTAAGCATGATAGCCTTCTTTAGGGACGGTCCCTTCTGACAACATAACCAAAGCAGGTGAAACAAAGTCTGGCCATTCTCATTTCTAAGGAGCATTCTGGGTGCACTTCTTCCAGCACAGATTTGTTCATTCTTCTGACAGTCCATAGTATTTTAGTATTCTTCACCAACACTACAACTCAAAAACATTAACTCTTCTTTAGTCTTCCTTATTCATTGTCCAGCTTTCACATGCATATAAGGTGATTGAAAATACCATAGCTTGGGTTAAGTGCACCTTAGTCTTCAAAGTGACATCTTTGTCCTTAACACTTGAAAGAAGTCTTTTGCATCAGATTTGCCCAATGTGGTATGACATCTGACTTCGTGACTGCTACTTCCATGGGTGTCAATTGTGGATCCGAGTAAAATAAAATCCCTGACAAGTTCAGTCTTTTCTCCGTTTATCGTAATGCTGCTTATTGGCCCAGTTGTGAGGAGTTTTGTTCTTTTTGTTGGGTGTAATCCATACTGAAAACTATAGTCTTTGATCATTTTCGGCAAAATTTTACTTGCCTATGATATTAATTGATCTTGTTCTATAATTTCCACATTTTGTTGGATCATCTTTCTTTGGAATGGTCACAGTTGTTGATCTCTTTCCG